CAAGGTATAGCATAAAACAAACAACTAAAAACAAACAAGAGTTGTTTGACTCAAGTCCTCAAACTGTCAGAGATTTGCTGAATTTAAGAAACTTACATGACAGACAGAGACGCTCAGATCCTAACAGTGACCTGGCAGAGAGCCGCATTTTATAACTCGGAACTGCATTCAATATCCCAAGGCCAGGGAGTTGGTGCTCCACACTGTGGCAGGCATTTTTAACTTAGTTTTTGTTTCTACTTAACATATTGGCTGCTTGAGGGCTCTGCTGTGCCACAGAGTTTCTTAAAGGAGGTGCATCTTTGTTTTAGTTTTCTCAGGCCGACGTGGGGATACGGGCCTCACATTAGAACACCAAAATGTACCAGGGTTTTTCTTTGGGGCCACCAACCAGCTCCCAAATCCTGACACAGAGACTTATTATTAGTTTTGAATGCTCAGCCTAGCTTAGGCATGTTTATACCTAACTCTTTTAACATAAATTAACCTGTTTCTATCTACCTTTGACCTTGGGGCTTTTGTCTTTCTTCTATGTATCTTACCTCCACTGCTTCTCTGTGTCTGGCTGCCAGCTCTGGGCTACTCCCCCATTCTCTCCTCCTCCTCTTCTTGTTGTTCCCTGGAGCCTAGATTCCTCCTCCTGTTTGTTCTCTCTCCCTGCCAGCCCCGCCTATCCTTTGTCTGTCTGGCTATTGGCTCTTCAGCTTTTTATTAGACCAATCAGGTGTCTTAGGCAGGCAAGATTAAACAAATGCAACACATCTTTACATAATTAAACACAGGCAGCATAAACAAAAGTAACACACCTTTACACAATCAAAGCAATATCCTGCAGCATAAAAAAATGTAATACATCTTTGCCTAGTTAACATTCCACAATCCTTGATAGGACAATTGGTCTTAGACATTAATCTTACACACCCTGTATGACTTACAGATGTCTCTTAAAGTATATTGACACACTGAGTTTTTGGAGATTCATCGTTTCAAAATTAATAAATGAAATTTTGATAAACTGATAAAACACTGGGTACTCGCTATTCAGTCATAAGCTCAAGATTTTTAGTTTCCTTTGGTTGTCTTCTAAGTATAGTATGTTTTTCAGCAGCCTAACTCAAAGCCATAGCTTTTGTGTCTCCTAGGTGTAAATCTGTTCCAGCTTGTAGGGAGAGATTCTGGACACGTGTACCGCTGACCACACTCATTTGGGCGTGGTCACAGGTATGCAGAGGGGTAGGATAAAGAGCAAGGAGGAGAGGCACTCAGCCTCTTTCATGGTTCCGGTCGGGTCTCGAAAGGCTGTTGAGACTAACCTGGGTTTTTGGTGTAAGTAATCTTCCATAATAAAATTCCAATATCATTCTTATTCAGTATTCTGTGTCAGAAGTGGGAGAACCGACCAGTACAGGTATCCAGGATCTCTTCCTACACCAGCAGTTTTACAGACACCTGTTAACTGCTTTTTCTACAATATGGATTTCAATATATGGAAATGCTAATATACTGAGAACTTTTATCTCCTCCTGGTTGACAACCTTGTCCCACGTCTGACAGGTCCCCTACTGTCCTGCTCCTCATTCTGTTTGCCCCCTGTGTTATCAATGCCACTGCATACTTTGTTCAGGACGGCATAGGTACCGTCAAGCTCAAGATTCTAAGGGCACAGTACAACCCCTTATTCAAGTCCCTGGATGAAGATTCCTCTCAATTGTCACAGGACAGGAGGAATGAAGGGAGCAGGCAGAAGAAGCACCCTGGGGTAGAGACTTCAGGGACAGCCCCTCACTGGGGAATTCTAGGCAGGGGCTCTGAAAGGTTCAGGCATTATGCTGGCCTGCCCCTGTTACCTGGTGAAACAGGCATTACCCTGGTCAGCCCAAGGTTCCATGGGAACTAAGTCTGCACGCAGGTGCAGAGGACCCCTTTAAAAGATAGGCCCCTGCCCATTTACTCTCTCTGTTTTTCTGTCTCTCTGTTCCTCTGTTCCCGCTCTCTGTCCCCTCTCTCTGTCCCCTCTCTCTGTTTCCCCCCGCTCTGTCTCTCTATGGCGACTGGCCATGGCGGTCAGCCATTTACCCTGTTCCTCTTCTTAGTCTCCCCATTCTACCGGGCCTTATAATAAACTTATAGTCTTATGTCCCATGTCTCAACATTTCTCTTTTCTTCTTTTTAAACAAAACAATAACAGGCTCCACCTCTGAACCACGCCCCCAAACCCGTTTTTGGAAGATTTGTTTTGTTTTTACAGACAAGGTTTCTCTGTGTAGCCCTGGCTGTCCCGGAACTCACTCTGTAGACCAGGCTGGCCTCGAACTCACAGAGATCCACCTGCCTCTGCCTCGGGAGTGCTGGGATTAAAGGCGTGCGCCACCAACACCCAGCTCCATTTTCGGCAAATACAGTATTTATCCCATTCTAAATTTGGTTATTCTCTTTGTTGTAATAAATTCCTTGAAGACTTGTGCTCTGGGGTCTTCTTAGGCATCCTTATTCTGCAGCTTACTTTGTCAGGGACTCCATGTGCTTAGGCAGTATCCAAACACTCAACTCGTCAGAAGGACTCTGGGTAGGATTGCCGGGGTGGCAGCTACGGGTGACTCATCCAGGACTCTGGGAAGAAAGTGTCAATGAGTCAGGCGGTGGTGGCGCATGCCTTTAATCCCAGCACTCCGGAGGCAGAGGCAGGCGGATCTCTGTGAGTTCGAGGCCAGCCTGGTCTCCAGAGTGAGTTCCAGGACAGCCTCCAAAGCTACACAGAGAAACCCTGTCTCGAAAAAAGAAAAAAAAGAAAGAAAGAAAGTGTTACTGAACCCTTGTGTGGGGGGCTGATCAGCTGACCCTCCGCCGGCCCCACCCCCACATGCCTTCTATTGGAGCCCTCAGCAAAGCTGCTCCCAGGGACTGCTGGGGGACCTGCTTGCTGTGCACCCTGTGCTTTTATGAAGTACCTGCAGGACGTTGGGCTTTGGCTGAACACAGATATGTAACTCAACAGGTGGTGTGTGTTCAGCCATTCCCAGGGAAAATTGGGGAATCTGAGGCCCATAGCAGTACAGACCCTTTCCTGGGTCACCCAACATCTCACATTGTCATCTTGCCTAGCCAGGGCTCTCTGCCCCATGGTGCCTTCATATTTAAATAATCAGGCCGGGCGGTGGTCGCAGACACCTATAATCCCTGCCGGCAGAGGCAGGTGGATATCTCCGAGTTTGAGGCCAGCCTGGTCTACAAAGTAAATTCCAGGACAGCCAGGGCTACACAGAGTAACCCTGTCTCTAAAACCAAAAGAAAGAAAGAAAGAAAGAAAGAAAGAAAGAAAGAAAGAAAGAAAGAAAGAGACCAGGAGCTGGACAGATGGCTCAGTGATGCCCCCCATTGGCCTCTAAGGTTACTGCATGTATAGTGCAGGCAAAACACCCGTAGGCATAAAATAAAATAAAAGTCAATTTAAAAAAAAAGAATCATGAAACCCAGAAGATAAAAGTCTAGAACTTCCCACTTTCTCTGTGTCCACGTCCCCACCTCTGGCTCTGTCTCTGTCTCTATCACGGTTATGCATTCCTTATCAGTAGCACAAGAAGAAGCCAAGGCCATCTGCCCCCTTCCTGGTTCTGGGAAAACTGGGACATGTCTGGGCAGGTCTGAGGCACTTGTAAAAGCTGCACATTCCTGGGGAACAGGTTGCCAGAGCCAGAGGGAGACCTGAAAGTGGGCAGCACAGAGGAGGACCTGTTCAAGCTGAGTGAGCAATGTTTGGCCCTTCACCCCTATCAAGCCTGTCACACTAAGCAGTTCCCAGTGGGACTCTTCCCTCTAAACTTGGGGTTTTGAGTGACAAATAGAAGCTTACCAGGGTTGTGTGTTTGTGTTTTAAGAACAAAGAGGTCCAGGGCACCCCAAGTCTCCCTCCTGGGTCCTAAACAAGAGACCTAGGGTTCAACACAGATGGAACAGGGCTACACAGAGCCAGGCGGGCAGTGGTCCTCTCGCCACCACCCACCTATGTCTCAGCTCCAGTCGCTACCGCAAAGCAACGTGGTCTTACAGGAAGTTGGAACTGTGGAGTCTTTGCCAGAGGCAACTGAAGTTCGAGTTTGGCTGCACCATGAATTCAGCCTTCTTGCAGCATGAGAGCCCTGGAGAAGTTCTAATGTCTTGGGGGTCACTTGTTTAAATACTCTGATAGACAAGGGAGGAGCCAGGGTATCCTTTAGAGTTGCATTTCTACACTGTCGGGTTGAAGTTCTTGGCCTGTGCCTGCTGATCCCACATTTGGGATTGTCACTAGGGCCTCTGTGACCCCGTCACTGGAACCACATCCTGTGTCCAGAAACCACCACTGTAGTTTATGATTTTCTGTGACTATAAAAGTTTGTGGCGCGTGACAGTGACAGGCGTTCTCAGGCCAGAGTCACATGCCCTGGCTTGGCAGGAACCCCACCCCCATCTCTTCTTCCTTGTCAAGCTGGGTTCTTATTTGACCAGAGAAATTGTTGACCAAGCAACCAACTGCAGAGCAATGAGTGTGTGTGTGTGGGGGGGGGGCAGGGAGGACACAGGAGGTCCCTGGGAGGTAGAGAAGCTGAAGCCTGAGTTCCACCTTAGGACTCTCCAGACCCTTGGGATTAGCATGTGCCCCTGGGTGAGGGTAGGAGTCCTATAAAAAGTTACATGTGGCTGGGTGGTGGTACACCCCTTTAATCCCAGTACTTGAGAGACAGAGGCAGGCAGATCTCTGTGAGTTTGAGACCAGCCTAGTCTACCGAGTGAGTTCCAGGACAGCCTCCAAAGCCACAGAGAAACCCTGTCTCCAAAAAAAAAAAAAAAAAAAAAAAAAGAATTTACATGTGTTGGTTCCAACTTTTGGCCCCATACCCAGAAAGGCTGAGGCAGGAGGTTGGTGTCAGTCCAGAAGTTGAAGGCCAGCCCGAGTGGGCCATAGCAAGACCCCAGCTGTTTGAGCCTGGGGTGAGCCGGAGGAGGTGACATCAAACACAATGACATGTTTCAACAACTTTATTGGTTTCTGGGTAAAAAGTGTGAGGCCTCCCAGAGTACAGCCTGGCAGACTGTTCTCTTCTGAATGCCGGACACCAGGCTAAGGAACTCTAGGGTTAAAGAGAAGGCACAATGGGCTAGAGGCTAGGGGGACAGAAGAGCCCCCCTCCATGGGACAAGAAAACACATGAGATACAGAGGGTTACCATGAACAAGCCAGGGCCCTCAGGCAGGCCAAAGAGAAGCACTTCACAAGGTGTGGTTGTGGCCTCCCTGGGCAAAGCCACCCCAAGCCTTGGGCGTGAATGGCCTCATGCCATCCAGCATTAGTTAAACCTCTTAGAAGGAAAAAAAACAAAAAACAAAAAAACAAAACAAAAAAAAACCCAGGGCACAGGGTTGCCATCGCCATCCCGAAGGCACAAGCAAGGAGGCCATAGAGGCTTCAAGGGCTAGAGTAGAACCATGAAAACACAGCTCTCTGAGAGTCCCCCAAACATAGTTGGGATATGAAATCCTGAGCCCCAGTGTGGCAGGGAACCTGGCTACAGTGAGTCAGGTCCCAGTGCCAGGCCATGACACACCGGTGTCCCACCAGTGGATCCTGGGCAGAGCTGGGCATCTGTGTGCTGCCCACAGCCGCTGAGGGAGGAGAGTTCTGTGCAGGGTATCCACCTGTCTCACTTGTTATTTTTCAAGATTATTTTACTTTTAATTCTGTGTCTGTGAGAGTTTGTGTCTGGGGAGGGGCTGGATCTTCTGGAGGAGTCATGGCCCTTGTGAGCCACCTACTGTGGCTGCTGGGGACTGAACCAGCCAGTGCCTTCAATGCAAAGCCACCTTTCCGGTCCCATCCTCTCTTTTGCTCTTTTTCAGACAAGGGTTTCTGTATCTCAGGCTGGCCTCAAACTCAAGCTCATCTTCCTTCTTCAGCCTCGAGGCTGGAGTTACGATCGGGACACCAGGTTCTGGTTCTTACTGTTAAAAGCAAACAGAACCCCACATTTTATTTTGTGGGTGCACACATGCTACAGAACATGTGGGGAGCACAGGACACATTTGGGGAGGCATTCTTCATCCACTTCTGGTAGCTGAGGACCAAATGGAAGCTTTTCAGTGTGGTGGTAACTGACTTTACCCACTGAGCCACCCTGCCCGCCCCTCTTCCATACTCTCTACTTGTTAAGACAAAGTCCCATGTAGCCCAGCTGGGCCTCTAACTGACTACAAAGGGGAAGCTGGCCTTGAACTCCTGATTCTCCTTCGTCCACCGCCTGGATGACGAGACCCTTACAGCCTGAGCTTGCTACCAGCACTCCTGAACCCAGGGACAGTGCCACCAACAGGCATGTTCAGTGGCCACTCAGGGGGGTTTTGGCTCTTCAAACCCAAACCCTGAGTCGGGTTCATTCCTACTTCATAAACACGGAAGAGACAAGTGCCCCCTCCAGCCAACTGCTTTGGGGGGACATTTTACCTGATACAGATAAAGCCCCCCCTTTTGCTCCCCTCAGCCTATGGATGCAGAGGGATAGTGGACTGTGGAAGCCAACCTGGGTCTGTATTTGGGATGCCATCGGCACCCCACAGCGACTGTGCTCTCTTAGGCTGAGACTGAAGAAACCAGGCTTTGTCTTTTCATTCCTGGAGGGGACTTCTGGGCTCAGACTCTCCAAGGGGTAGGGAGGTCAAAGGTGAGCTGTCTAGACAGTGGGGGGGGGGTGCAGGGTGGAGGCACTTTCCTTGCACACAGTGAGGTCACCCACGGGTCGAGGGCACAAGCAGCCTGTGTACATAGCAGCTGGCCTGGCTCCCAGCCCAATCCACACAAAAGCACCTTCCCCTAGCCTCAGGAGCCCACCATTTGCTGGAGGCTTCCATGTAAGCCATGAGCATAGTAGAACATGAGATTCCCCATTTTAGCTGACACTATCTGCCTCCAAGTCAGGCATGGTGGCTTCTACCTGTCATCCCAGGGACATGGAGGCATAAGTTCAGGGTCTTCCTCAGCTACATACTGAGTGGGAAACCAGCCTGGGCTACACAAGACCCTGCCTCAAAAACAAACAAAGACAAAGAAACCCAAAAGATCTAGGTCCCATCCATTGTGGTGATCCAGGCTGACTGCCCGCAGCCTTGGGAACACAGCACACACAGTCCACAAGCTACATTCCCATCTCTAAGCTGACAGCATAAATCAGATACTTTCTCAGCCTGGCTGAGATCCCAGACACCAATCACTGTCCCTACTCACATCCCTGGCTTCAAATCTATCCTAGCATTCCTCCTCTGCATGACCCCGCCCACCCATCCTACCCTTCCTTTCCTGAGAATGGCAGGGAAGAGCAGCAAGGGTGGGGGTGACCTGGTCCTTAAGAGTCAAATATGGCCAGGCTAGGCAACTATACACCTGGCAACTATAGACCCCTTGAGCTCCACCCACCAAGAAACAAAGAGGAGGAAAATCAAGTTTGGGGACAGGGCAAGGGAGTGATCAATGGAGGCCTAATAAATAAATACATGACACATACACTCTCGGGGTGGCCAGAGGGGAAGGCCTGTCTCTGAGGTGTGCATGGTGCTCCCAGCACAGGTGACATGGGAGGGTGGAGACATGGGTTTGGGGTGCAGGGGCCACACCCTCCCCAGCCCTCCTGCCTCCTCCTTCTCCTCACATGCACACTGCCCCATCCATGGTGCTGCCTGAACTTTGAGGAATTTGAGAGTGGAGTGCAGCCTGGAGCCCACATGAAGACTTGACAGGAGCTGGGGACATCTGAGGCAGGAGAATTGCCACAAGTTGGAGGGCCAGCCTGAGCTACAGAGTTCAGGTAGAAAAAACATGCCTCAAAATACAAAACCCAAAGTCACTGGGCACAGAATCCAGGGACAGTGGTAGCTTTGTCACCTCGGGGAGAGGCTGAGGCAGGAGGATCAGGAGTTCAAGGCCAGCCTGGTCTACACGATGTCCCAAAGGGTCCTGAGGAGATCCCTTACTTATGATTCCCCCTGGGAGAGAGTGCCAGCACAGGGCAAGGCAGCAGAGCCATGATTATTTAAATCTGCCAGCCACATCCACAGTTGTCTTTGTGGGGACAGCAAGTCTCCCCAGGGTTGCCCTCACCCCTGAGACTTGAAGGAGAGCCTAGTGCCCAGATGTCTACCTGGAGACAGGGAAGCTCCAGAGAGGCAGGATGAGCAAAGAAGGTAGCCCGAGGAAATCACACCAGAACAATAACATCTGAGCTGAAAAGTAGCCCAGCCCAGCACTGGGCAGGCTGAGGCAGGAGGGTCGGGAGTTCAAGGTCGGCCTCAGCTACATATTTGAGTTGGACACCAGCTTCAGTGACCCTGTCTCAAACAACAGTTAAAAAAAAAAAAAAGGTACAGGGATGAGAGGTTACCCTGAAATCCAGATCCATCCAATCACACTTGGGGGCAGTGAGTGCCCCTACACCATCCCTCCATAAAACAGAAGGTGACAACCAAAATGCACAAGGCTTTTGGTGGCAGGAACTACACTTTGTCTTGGATGGAGTCCAAGCCATACGTCACAGCCAGCCCCTCCTCCAGGCCTGGAAGTTCAAAGTCAGCGGGAGACAAAGGCTGGCTGGAGTCCCAGGTACACTTCCAAACACAGCTCACCAGATGTCCCTGTGGCAGACACAACCTGCAGGGGCATGCCTGGGCACTGAAGGGACTGCTTCAGGGCATGCCCAGAACTGTGCGGTTCTGGTCCCAGGTGTTCTCCTGGCACTTAGGGACCTGAGGCAGGAGGGTCAGGGGTTCAAATGAGACTAGCTTGGATTACATAGTAAGTTTAAATGGTCAACTGAGCTACCTGAGACCCTGACTCAAAAAAAAAAAAAGACAACAAACAAACACCCTCTACAAAAATAAAACAAGAAAAGAAAGGTCATGACAGGGTCAATGTGGCCCAGGGAAAGGCCAGGCCCTTGGTGGTGACAGCAGCCTGATCTTTGGAGCAAGGGAGACAACTATGGTGACCCAAATTATGATGACACTTTCAGGGCAGGAGGCAAAAGAGGCCTCACAACCCTGGAGAAAGAAAAGACACTTGTTGGTCTTTTTTTAAGTTTTAACAATGGGAATATAAATTACTCTGTTCCCTACTCTAGCACTGGAGGAAGGGGAAGAGGGGGAGGAGGGGGATAGGGGGAAGAGAGAGAGAGAGGGGAAGACAGGGTGGAGTCTAGGGGTGGGGGGATGACAGGACAGAAAAGGCAGCCAAGTTCCAGGTGGTTTTGCCAGGAACTATCCAGGGTTTATGGACATGATTAGAGCTGACTCCTTTACGACACTTTGTGAGACGCTGGCCAGAGAGAAAGCTCTGACTCTTGGTCCACAGACCTGGGAGAGCAGAGTGTGTTGGGGTCAAGGTAGTAGCATGGCAGGTGTGCAGGCCACCAGCCTGTGGCCATCTCACCCTGACCTCAGCCTCTGAGCACAACAGCCGTATCCCCAGACACAGGACAATATCCAGAAAGAGGTCTCTCCATCCACCTGCCTAGTGGTCCACCAAGAGGAGGAACAGACTTGAGTCAGGGCATTTCATGGGCCCAGCTGTGTCTCCTCTCACAGCACTTGGGTGTGCGTGGTTGTCAGTGCTGGTGGCAACAGCTGACGTCCCCCTCCACCTGCTCCAGAACACCCAGCATCTCCTCGATGATGGCCCGGAGTGCCCGGCCTAGCTGGTCGGCATTGTAGGGCTTGCCCAGTGGGGGCACATGGACGAAAGCCGATCGGCCGCGGCCCTGGTAGAGTGAGGTGTAATAGGTGAAGTCACACAGGTACCTGAGTCAGGGGGCGAAGGAGACACCAGGGTCACACAGTCAGTTCCAGGTCAAGGCCACATCCACCCTCTGGAAAGCCCCCCACTGAGTCGGGAGGTGATGGAGAATCTAAGGGTTAGAAGAATTTAGGGGACCTTGGCAGCCTTCTCTCTATTTCCTATAACTTCTATTTTGCTGGGCATGATAGTGTACACTGTACACCTTTTATCCCAGCACTCTGGAGGCAGAGGCAGGCGGATCTCTAATTTTAGGTCAGCTTGGTCTACAGGGAGAGTTTCAGGCCAGCCTGGTCTACAGAGTGAGACCCTGTCTCAGAAACTATGGTGGCGATGACAGAAGACATTTGCTGTTCAGACCCCAGGCTCACTGCTGGAGAGAAACCCACCTGCCAGCATCCTGGGAGATGGTAACGGACACATCCAGCCCCAGCGTGGTCACCCTTTTGCACACAGCGTCCATGTCAATGATGGAGTCAATGCTCTCTGGGCCGTCCTCCACACAGCACTGTGACCCAGGGCAGAATCGGCAATTATCCAGTCCCTTGTAGCCCTTGTTGTGTCCACACTTCTCCAGTGTCACTGTGGTGGCCATGCCTGACACCCCAACATGCACCACAAGCTGGGGACAGAAGAGTGGAGCTTAACAGTAGCAGACACCCACCCACACAGAGGGAACACTTAAATCTTTGTTGTTGCTACAAAATTACTTATGTAGCATTAGTTGGGTTTCTCTGTGTAGCCCTGGCTGTCCTGGAACTATGTAGACCAGGTTAGCCTTGAACTCACAGAAATCCACCTGCCTCTGTCTCCTGAGTGCTGGGATTAAAGGCGTGTGCCACCAGTGCCTGGCATATCATGTAACTGTTTAAAAAGCCCAGGGCAGCAGGGCATGGTGGCACACTCGGGAGGCAGAGGCAGGTGGATCTCTGAGTTCTAGGCCAGCTTGGTCTACAAAGTGAGTTCCAGGACAGCCAGGGCTACACAGAGCAGCCCTGTGGGGTGGTAAGAGGGAAGCCCAAGGCAGGTTTTTGTTTTGCTTTTGAGACAGAGTCTGACAGGCTGGCCGAGGTCTCTTATGCCATCAGTCCAGGCTCTCCCTGAATCACTGACTGTAACATGAATTTTAATAGATCTTAATAATAAAAACCCAGAGTCAGACATAGGGAAAATGCTGAGAGACCAGAGAGAAGGAGGAGCAAGCCAATGCCACCTTTACCTTACTAGCTTCTCAGTGGAAAAGAGAGGGAGTTCCTGTTTCTCCTTCCTATAGCCCTTCTCTGTTCTGCCATCTCACCTCCTGTCTGTCTGTACAGACCTCCAAACCTCCATGGTTAGCTAGTGGCATGCTCCACCCTCTGATCTTCAGATACACTTTATTTGTACAAACAGGATATCACCACACCTGACTGCCGAGGTAACAAGTGTCTGCCAGCCCTGTGCTTGGCGGCTTGAGGTGTCTTTTGAAAGTCATTAGTTTATTAATACTTTCTTTAGTGGTGCTGGGTGGATGCCAGGGCCTCTCATACTCACATTTAATTGTAACTTGCTCAAACCCTTCCTGGCTGGCACACAGAGAATAGCGAGGCTCTGTAAGGTCTGCCTTCCTCCTCCCTTCCATGGACCTCAAGGTGAAGCTGGGACACTGGACTTGTGCTGGGAGGTGGTGTGCTTTGAATAAGAATGGCCCCGTGGGTTCATATATTTGAGTGCTTAGTCACCAGGACAAGGAACTATTTGGTAAGGATGAGGAGGTGTGGCCTTGATGGAGGAGGTGTCATTGGGCATGGGTGCTGCCCCTTGATGACCCTGGACAAACCCTCTGGAACTGTGAGTTGGATGCCGGCTTTTGTGAGCTGTCTGGTCATGGTGCCTCCTCACAGGACAGAACAGTGACGGGTGGGGGATCTTCAGGGGTTCCCCTGCAAAACACTCACCTGAGGACTGTGCTTCTCCCACAGTGCAGGGATGAGCCTTTGTACAGTCTGGTATTCCACAGGGATCTCATACACATGCAGGTCCACGCTGTCCCCAAGGCCCAGCTTTTCCAGTTCCTGGGAGAGAAGACATCTGTGAGGATGGGGGAGGCTGCAAAGACACTTCCTGTCTTCAGACACCAGGCAGCTCAGCTTCGAGTGATGCCTGCTTACCACTTCAGCACTTGAAAGACAGGGCAGGATCAGGAGTTCAAGATCATCCCTCCTATACACAGAAAAACTGAAGGTAGACTGATCTACATCAGACCTTGCTGCCCCTCAAAAAAAAGTATTGATTATACCCAACGGACTGAGCACCCCAGTCCAGCAGCAGCTCTGTGTGACCACCTTGTGACTGTGACCACCTCAGAGCTGCCTGGGAGTGCCTGCCTCCGGGGGCCCAGAAAAGATCAGGAAGTGCAGGCTGGGGAAAAGACCCAGATTACTCTATTTCTGCAACTGAAACAAAACACCTGAGCCACATATCATTGTCATATTGCTGAGGATTGTCTTAACACTTGAGAGGCTGAGGCAGGAGGATGGCTGCTAGATTAATTCCAGCCTCCTCCTCTAATAATGAATTACAGGCCAGCCAGGGCTACATAGTGAGACTGTCTCACACAACAACAAACTAAAGAACAAGGGTTTGGGGCTGTTAGAGTACTGGCAGCTCAGCTGGTTCAGTGCTTGTAGTTCTGTTAGTAGAATGCTCAGGGGGCACACAGGGAAGGCCTGGGGTACACCCCCAGCACCAGCTGTGGTACTAGATGCCTGTCAACCCACACACTTGTAGGGTGGAGTTCAAGGAGACCCTGTCTCATCAAACACCCTAAACTCAAACAAAACCCTGAAAGAATGAAAAACCCAACACAAGGAACAGTTTCTTCCTGACTGTGCTGGAGCAGGGGATTGCGCCCCCTACTGGGGGATCTGCAGGGGAGGGGGAGGGGCAAGGGCAAGCCATCACCATGGCAAGGGTATTTGATGGACCTTCGAACTTCACTGGCTAACAAAATAGAAAAGCAAAATAAACCACCCCTAGTTACCGGAGCAAGACTTGTGCCTGTCACTCAGCACTCAGAGGCTGAGGCAGGAGGATTGCAGTGAGTTTCAGGAAAACCTAGGCTACACTGAGGCCCTGTCTCAAAACCTGAAACAGGGGCTAGAGAGGGCTCAGAAGGTAAGGGCCCTTGCTCGCTGCTCTTACAGGGGACCTGAGTTCGGTGCCCACACCCACATTAGGTGGCTCACGTCTACAAGGGATCCCAGACCTCGGTCACCCGGCGACATCTGCACTCGTGTACATATGCTGCTTCCTAACAGACGTGCACACATACATAATTAAAATAAAGCTAATTTTTAAAAGTCAAAACAAAAGGACAGGCTTGGGGTCACATGTCTGTCACCCTCTCCCCACCCCCCCACCAAGGAGGTGAAGGCAGGAGGATCAGGAGTTCAAAGTCAGTCTGGGCTGGGCTACATAGTAGTGATTTGAAGGCCATCCTGAGCTACATGAGCCTATCTACAGAGCGAGTTCCGGGGCAGCCAGGGCGACACAGAGAAACCCTGTCTCAAAAAAAAAAAAAAAAAAAAAAAAAAAAAAAAAAAAAAAAAAAAAACCAGACTAAAGAAACCCCACACAAAAAATCAATGGCTGGTGTTTGGCTATGTGCCTGTCCTTGGTTCCTTCCCAACCTTGTGGGTGGTGAGGACTCATATATGGCTGGGATAAGAAGTCTGCAGCAGAAAGCTTCACCTAGGAAACCCGTGGGTACAAGCGGGTGTTTAATGTCCCCATGAAGGCTGTGAGCTTCCATCTAGACACTCTGACCCTTCAGTACTGATACTCTTTCTGTGGGGACTCTGGCTTGACAAAGGACAGTGTACTGGGGACTAGTCACAGATATGTCACCCTTCATCCGACTCTGCCTTTTGCCCCTGACACCTGGTTCCAGTCCTCCTAAGAGAAGGGGGTGTGAACCCTAATCCCACCCCCTGTATCCTGGCTAAGTGCTCAGCATCCTGGAAAGCACCAGGCAGGAGGGTTCAGCTGTGGCGTTGTCCCTGGTCATCTACCTGAAAAGACCCTGTCACAAAATCGGGCAAGGCTGCAGGGTTCATCTGACTGAGTACTTTGACCTCATCACAAAGCCCCTCTTTGTTTGCTGGTACTGTTTGGAGGGTCTGTCTAGACTCCTGATGGCAGTAATCATCCCAGGATGTCACTGAGTACCTCGGCCCACTCAGGAACAGACTTCGAAGTAACAAGTTAGAGGCTTCCTGGCCCTTGACACTCATCTGAGTCTCCATGAAAAGGTGAGCAGCCTACCACCCCGGACCTAGGGTGAGGAAGAGAAAGCTAGGAGTGAGGGTGCCCTCTGTGATCCCCACATTTAGGAAACTGAGACAGGAGAATCACTTTGAGTTTGAGGCCAGCCAAGGCTGCAGAGTGGGGTCCTGCCTGAAAATCGATTGATCAATCAATGAGTCAAAAGAGCCAGGCATAAGGGCACACACACAAGCCATCCCAGCACCGGGGAGGCTGAGGCAGAAGGGTCCCGAGTTTGAAGTTAGCCAGCATAAGATTCTGTCTCAAAACTTAAAAAAAGAAAGGGCAGTGTGTCTGGGAAGATGGCTCAACAGGTAACAGAGCTTGTGGCCAAGCCTGGTAAGGCCAGTTCTGAGGACCTCCATAGCGCCCTCTGACCTCCCGTGTGCCTTTCCGTCCACACAATAGACAAATGCATAAATAAATGAAAATTTTTAAAGGAATAAGATGAGAAACAGTCTGGGTTTCTGTACAACATGGAGGTTTCCCACTGGAGCCCCAAAGCTCCAAGGGAATTCCCAAAGATTGTTTAATTGATTTTCCTTCCTATTTACATGCAGATGGTGGCGTCTGGGGCCCAGGAATCCAGACACTGGCTTTGTGTCCACTCAGCCCGTGAAGCCTCCTGTCTGCAATTCATACAAAGCCAGACACACAAGTCTTCAGAGACACACTGGTTCTTTTTGTCTGGTGCCCTGGGGAGTGGGTGTGCACGCAGGGGCCCCGGCCACACTCCCACCTACAAGGTCTCGGGGATCCTGGGGTCCTCCATCCGGCTTGCAGAGTGCAGGTGGGAAAGGAAAGAAAAGGGGGTGGTGGCCAAGCAGCTGAGACTTCTGAGGTGGGGACAATGACAAGCCCGTGGCAGGGGACGTGGGAGCCTTGGGTGGGAAGAGAGAATCCTTAAATCACACAGCTAATGGGCTAAAATTAATCCGGGTCCGGCTGCCGTCTCTGCCTGTTGATTTATCTAAGAATCAAACGGCTGTCTCCCTCCACTCAATTGTTCCCTAGTCTGTCTGTCTGTCTGTCTGTCTGTCTGTCTGAATGTCCCATCTGGCAAGGAAACACAAGCTAGTGGAGTTGCTCTACTCCTTGGATAGGATTCTGGGAAGAGACACCCTCCTGAGGCTCCCAGTGCAGAGGCTGAGGGTCACTGCCTTCCTTCCCAAGGGGTTAAGCTCTTGCCCAGAGTGCCCATCTGCTCTCCAGCAGCACACACCAGGGCAGACCCAGTCTTCTCAAGTTAATTTTGTTTTTTTGTTTGTTTTCTGTTGTTGTTGTTGTTGTTGTTTTAGCCAGGTTCTCGCTATGCAGCTCTGGCTGTTCTGGAACTCACTCTGTAGACCAGGCTGACCTCAAACTCAGAGATGTGTCAGCCTTTGCCTCCTGAGTGCTGTGATTAAAGATGAGTACCACAGCACCAGGCCAGGTCTGGTTCTAGTACTCAGGAGGCTGAAGCAGGAGGATCATGACTTAGCCTAGGCTATACAATTACTAAAAAACAAAACAAAACAAAAAAAAACAAGTGAAAAAAAGTGCTAAACATACAGGAGCTGGATTGAGTCTCATCCGGGATGTTTACATTGTATTTAAAGACACTCAGCTCTGGACTAGGCTCCTTCCCCCAGTCCAGAGTTACCTGAACAGCAATCCAGCTGGCATTCACAGTGTGCTCCCCAAAAGGGCCAAACCCTGAAAAAAGGAAAAGCAATGTTACTTTCTCTTCCCACGTCAGAGTTCTGAAATCTCCTTCCCCCCTCCCTGACACACCCCCACACTACTGTATCACCCAGCCAGCCCCTCCCAGTACAGTCTACCTATGGGCAGTGGCCACCTATGGATTCCAGGCTGCCAGGACTGAAGGCAATCCTTTTGTCTCCACCTGCTAAGCCCTGGAATGACAGGCACAGGCTGCCATGCCTGGCTTCCTTGTCCCTGTTAGGACTCACACCTGGTAGGAAGCCTTTCCCTTTGCTGCTTCCTTCTCCAGCCAGGATGTAAACTATGGTTATTTTCTGATTATCTGTGTCAGGCTGTCTTCCAACTCTGGGAACCCAGGACCCTGTGGTTATTTTCTGAGTCAGGCTGTCTTCCAACTCCGGGAACCCAGGGCCATGTGTCACCTCTCAGAGGCTGTGGGGGTCTCCAGGCCAGGCTACCTGGACACCCACCCCTCCAGGCCTCATCTCTGTCCAAGATAGACTGAGGCATCGTGGCTTTCAGTTTCTTCCCCTCTGGAAGGGTTTCCCAGGCCGAATCATCATGAGCAAGGATTGAAGCAGAAGACGCTAACTTACTGAAGTCACACTGCTGCATGTAAAATGCAGGGATTCAGATCTATACTTGGTGAATTGGCCTACCTCTTCTAGCCACTGAGGTGCCAAAAATGTATATATTGAGAAAACAAAAAAGAAACACAAAAACAAGCCACCCAGCTCCTGGCTCTGGGTGCTGCAGCACACACCTCAGATGCAGTGTCTTAGAGGCCAAGGCGAGAGAATTGTGACTTTCAAGCCAACCCCAGGCTACACGAGACCCTGTTCCAAAATAAACAGAGCCAAAAATATATCTCAGTGTGTAAAATGTTTGTCACACAAGAACCTGAGTTCAGACCTATATCGAGATTTGCAAGCACAGTGTGGTGACACATACTTGTACTTCCAGAGCTGGGACAGTAGAGCCAGGCAGATCCCCAAGGCTCAATGGCAAGTCAATCGAGTCTAATAGGCTAGAGAGGTTCTCTCTTCCTTCCTGATGCTGTGACCCTTTAATACAGTTCATGTGTGGTGATCCCCAACCATAAAATTATTTTGTTGCAACTTCATAACTGTAATTTTGCTACTGTTTTGAGTCATAATGCAAATATCTGTGCTTTCCAATGGTCTTATATGACCCCTGTAAAAGGGTCATTTGACACTCCCCCAAGGGTCATCACCCACAGGTTGGGAAACCTTGCCTAAGTGGCTCCCAAATGAGAGACGCTTTCTCAAAAACCCAACTTGATGGAGCCTGAGGAGTCACACCAAGTCTGACATCTGGGCACTACATGGTCGTGCAAGCGCTTGCGCGCGCACACACACACTCACACACGCCCGCCCGCCCACCAGAATGCTCGAGGTATCGGGACACAGCCACTGACCCCTGTCCACCAGGGAGGCAGCTTCCTCCGGTTTCGAGGAATGACAGCCATAACCTTCCTCCGTTATGAAACACCTGTAGGAGTGTCCCGCTGAGCGCCCTGCTGCAAGGCCTGGCAGAGTCGACTCCTCCAAGTGGCCCCAGGCCGAGTTTCAGGAAATAAGTACAGTTGGCTTCCGGGGGTGTTGGTGACAGTAGGAACTGTGCTCAGGAGTCCCCGGGTCATCCTGGGGTCAGGTTGACGCAGGCCCTCAAGCTGCCCCAATCTGGGCTGCAGGCCCCCGGGCAATGCAGGTGTTGAGCGGACTGTGTCACCTGGACTCCTGGCCGTGAACCCGCCTTTGTCCCCGAGGTCAGGGCGCGGGGACAGGCCCGAGCTCCGGAGGGGCGGGGAGGGCTGCACCCCACCGCCGGCCGCCCGGCCGCGGGAC